AAGGATACCCATTCTCACCACACTTATTTAACATAACACTGTAAGTCCATGGTCAGGGCAATTCGGCAACAAAAGAAATAAAAGACATCCAAATTGAAACAGAAGATGTCGAAGTGTCCCTGTTTGTAGATGGCATGATCTTACACATAGAAAAGCCTTAAGACTGTGATACAGGAGCTAGAAAGAAACTATTTAGGCAGATAGTGAGGTTAAGAGAGTCCTCAACAAGCCTTCCCTTTTAACAAAAACCAGCTCTAAAATCATTCTTTTTCTAACGAAGAGCAGCTTAAACAAATAAACAAAAAACCTACAGGCCAATATCCCGGATGAATAAAATTCCCTGATGAAATAGAGTTACAGACATAGATAAGAAAGCTGGAAGCTTGCACCAGTGAATGCTAGCATCTGTGCCAATAAGAAAAGGCTGCCTGGGAGCCAGGCGTTCAACATGGAGGCTACATCTTCCCTTTTCTTTGTAAACCACATGTACAGTAAAGAAACAGGCAACATGGCACTGGCTAAGAAGAGAACCCATCTGCATAATAAAAGATTAGGGCAGGACAACCAGCTTCTTCACACACTATGTAAATGGCATACCTGGTCGGATCAATCTTCTGGGCTCTATGTAAATCAGACACCACCTCCTTAAGTTTGTTTATAAAACCCTGTGCATTTCACCACAGAACCGGAAGACACTCTGGAGCTCCTCTCTATAGGAAAGAAAGGTTTCCTCTTGCTTTCACCTATTAAACCTCTGCTCTTTTTTTTTTTTTTTTTTTTTTTTTAACATGCAGTTTCACTTTAGTCGCCCAGGTTGGAGTGCAGTGGCTCAACTTCAGCTGACTGAAATCTCCACCTCCCAGGTTCAAGCAATTCTCCTGCCTCATCCTCCAGAGTGGCTGGGATTGTTGACACCTGTCACCAGGCCCAGCTAATTTTCTGTAGAGATGAGGTTTCACCATGTTGGCCAGGTTGGTCTTAAACTTCTGACCTTAGGTGATCCAGCCACCTCAGCCTTCCAAAGTTCTGGGACTACAGGCGTGACCTACCAAGCCTGGCAACTTCTGCTCTTAATTTCACTCCTTGTGTGTTTGTGTCCTTGATTTCCTTGGTGTGAGGCAAAGAACCTCAGTTATTACCCCAGAAGAATGACACCAATTCTGCCAGAAAACTCTTAGTAATGACAAACTAATTCAGCAATACACAAACAACAAACTAGGTAAAAAATAAATCAAGAAGGTAACACCATTTACAATATTATAAAAAATTAAAATACTTAGAATTAATTTAACCAAGGAGGTAAAAGACCTCTACAAAAAAACTGCAAAACACTGATTTAAGAAATTGAAGAGAATCCAAATAAATGGAACGATATTCCACAAGAATGGATCAAAAGACTTAATATTGTTAAAACAACCGTGCTACTCAAAGCAATCTACAGATTCAATGCACTACCTATAAAATACCAATGGCATTGTTCACAGAAATAGGAAAAGCAATTCTAAAACTTGTATGAAACGAAAAAAGGCCCTAATAGCCAAAGCAATCTTGAGTAAAATCAACAAAGCTAGAGCCATCAAACTAGCCCCCAGGCTTCAAAATACACTACAAAGTTGTAGTAAAGAAAACAGCATGGTACTGATATAAAAACATACACATACACCAATGGGAGAGAAGAGAGAACTCATAAATAATTCACAAAGCTGCAGCCAGCTGACTTCTGACAATTACACCAAGAACATGCATAGGGGAAAGGACAAGCTCTTCAATAAATAACACTAGAAAAACTGGATCTCTATATGTATTAGAATTAAACTAGACCCCTGCCTCTTACACTGTACAAAAAAAAAAAAAAAAAAAGAAAAGAAAAGAAAACTAAAAATGGATCAAAGAACTAAATTTAAGGCCCAAAAACAATAAAACTACCAGAAGTAAACATAGGAAAAATGCTTCAGGAATGGGTCTGCAAAAAGATTTTATCAACAAGACCTCAAAAGCACAGGAAACAAAAGCAAAAATAAACCAATAGGATTATATGAAAATAAAAAGCTTCTGCACAGCAAAGAAAACTATCAAAACTGAGAAAAGACAACCTACAGAAAGGGAGATAATATGATTTTGCTGTGTCCCCACCCAAACCTCACCTCGAATTCCTATGTGTTATAGGAAGGATCTGGGAAGAGGTAATTAAATTATGGGGGCAGGTCTTTCCTGTGCTGTTCTCAAGATAGTGAATAAGTCTCACAAGATCTGATGGTTGTAAAAAGAGGAATTCCCTGCACAACTCTCTCTCTCTTTGCCTGCCACCATCCATGTAAGATGTGACTTTCTTCTTCTTGCCTTTTGCCATGATTGTGAGGCCTACCCAACGACATGGAACTGTAAGTCTATTAAACCTTTTTCTCCCTAGTCTCAGAAATGTCTTTATCAGGAGCATGAAAACAAACTAATAGGAGAAAATATTGGTAAACTATTCATTTGATAGGAAATTAACATCTAGAATATACAGGAACTAAAAAAACCTCAACAGCAAAAAAAAAAAAAAAAAACTGAATTAGAAAAGAGCAAATGAACAGACATTTCCCAAAAGAAGACATAAAATTGACCAACAAAAAATGTGAAAAAAAAATGGTCAACATCACTAATCATCAGGGAAACACAAATAAAAATCACAATGAGATATCATCTCACCTCTGAATGTCTATTATCAATAGGTCAAAAAATATGGGTGAAGCTGCAGAGAAAAGGGAATTCTTATACATTGTTGGTGGGAATGTAAATTAGTACAGCCACTACAGAGAACGCTATGGAAGTTCCTCAGAAAACTACAAACAAAACCATCATATGTTCCTGCAATCCTACTACTGAGCATTTATCCAAAGCAAAAAAAAATTAGTACATCAATGGGATACCTGCATTCTCAAGTTTATTGCAGCACTATTCACAATAGCCACGATGTGGAATCAACCTGGGTTTCCAACAAGAAAAGAATAGACCAACAAACTGTGGGCTGGGCACAGTGGCTCATGCCTGTAATCCCAGCACTTTGGGAGGCTGAGGTGGGCAGATCACCAGGTCAGGAGTTCAAGACCAGCCTAGTCAACATGGCAAAATCCTGTCTCTACTAAAAATATAAAAATTAGCTGAGTGTGGTGGCAAGCACCTGTAATCCCAGCTACTTAGGAGACTGAGGCAGGAGAATCACTTGAACCCAGGAGGTGGAGGTTGCCATGAGCCAAGATAGGCCATTGCACTCCACCCTGGGCAACAGGAAGAGACTCTATCTCAAAATTTAAAAAAAAAAAAAGCTGTGGTATATATATACATAATGGAATAATATTCAGTCATAAACAAGAATGAAATCCTGTCATTCATGGCAACATGAATGGAACTGGAGGACATTTTGTTAAATAAAATAAGAGAGGCCCAGAAAGTTACACATCTTTTGCTCTCATTCATAAGTGGAAGCTAAAAAAAAAAAAATTTTTAAATAAAAATAAAAAGTTGATCTTATAGAAATAAAACAATAAAACATAGAATAGAGGTTACTCTGAGAAGAATAAGAGTAAAAGAAGGAGTAAGAAGAGATTTATTAAAGGCTTGAAAATTACAGCTAGAGAGGATGGGTAAGTTCTAGTGCTCTATACTACTGTAGGATGACTATTGTTTACAATAATATATCACATAGTTACAAATAGCTAGAGGAAAGATATTGAATGTTCCCAACACAAATAAATGATAAATATTTGAGATAATGGATATGTTAACGTCCCTGATCTGCTCACTATATATTATATGCATTAAAACAGCACTCTGTACCCCATAAATACATACAATCCTTCTGTGACAATAAAATAAATTTTAATAGAAGCTCGAACAAAAAAATTTACTTACTTACCACAGAAAAATTAAGACATTTTTCCACAATCAATTTTAATATTAACTATTTATGAAATAAATTCATTTAGTTACATAAAAATTCATTCTCTAAATAATGATTCCTGGAAATAGTAGTAATAGCAGTAGTGGGAACAAAGACATAAAAATAATAGCCCTGAAAATGGAAATAGTAAAAATTGTAACCAAAGTTAACTCTCAAAAATAAATTTTACTATATTCACAGTAAACATATGAAGTAGTCATGATTATTATGCCAGTTTACAAATGAGGAATATAGAGCTAGGGATGTTAACTTGCTACTAAGTTGCAGAAATAAGCATATGTCCAGATTTTATGTTCTCCACCATTTTGAAACGCTATCTACAATGCTTCTTTAAAGTGAACAGTACCAAGCAAACATTACTTGTTTCTATATAGCAAGTAATTGGCAACACAGTCACCCCTCGGGATCCATGTAGGATTAGTTACAGATCCCTTGTGGATTCTAACATCCATAAATATCATGTCCCTTACATAAAATGATAGTATTTTCAAGTAACCTATGCATATCCTCCCATATACTTTAAATCAGCTCTAGATTATTACTGAATACAATGTAAATGTTATTGAATAGCTGTCATGCTGTAACGTTTAGGGACTAATGACAAGAAAAAAAAGTCTGTACATCTTCAGTACAGACACAACCACGCTTTTTAAAAATATTTTTCATTTGCAGTTGGTTGTCTCCATGAATGCAGAACCCATAAATACAGAGGATCTACTATATTTGTTCTGAAAAGTTTTCAAGCAAAAAGTATTTCTGCCACACTATACCAAGTAGAGTTATAATTCTTAAATTGTATACACCTTTTAAGTGCATTTATTCATATAAGATGACTTCTTGGTAAGGTGATACAGTGGTTTACTCTGCAAAAAGTGATAATTTATAAAACCTTACTACCTTATTACTTATACAAAATAAGTCTTCTGCCAATCACTTGAGAAATAAACTCCACTTTTATTTCCAAAATTAGCAATAATATATTAAAAACAAAAAAAACATTTCAAAGAATTATGAAATCATAACACATTTCCATAATATAAACGAATAGAAATGTTACCTGTTGTGTATACTTCTGTATTTCATCCAAAACAAATTCTACTTCTTTTGAGGTTGTTAATGAAGCAAGATTTCCACTAAGATTATAGCAATAAAGTTTTGCATTGTCATAGTTTTCCCTACTGGAATTGATTCTAAGACAAGCATCCCCAATATGACTCCATCCTTCTCCACAAAGGTGAGCTGGTAAAAAAAAAAAAAAAAAAAAAAAAATGTGTCTTATGCTCATATTTCCAAAAAGCAAATGTATTTTTCAACTATTTCAGAGTACTTCTGTATTTGTTTAAATTATTTTTAAAAAATAAAACATTAAATATCTCAATATAACATTTCAAATAAATTTTTTCTAATATTCTGGTAGAGAATGAGAGCAGAATATCCTAATTTTTTCTTTAACTCTTAAACATGGGATAAAATATGGCTCTATGATATCTGTTAAATGTGTTGACTGCTGGGTTTCCTTTATTTTTGATATTTCCATAAGTAAAATCATTACTATATTTATGTCCCAAGGTCTAGCTTACATAAGACAAGACCACTTTAATTTAAAAAAAAAAAAAGCTTATAACAGCAGTTTCAAAGTTATTTCTGTAAGTGAAGCTAACTGACCTCTAAATCTAATTTCCATAGCTCAGGTATATTGTTGTGGTATAAGTTGGGTTCTTTGATTCTTTCATAAGAATGAGTAGAGAAGTCTCATTTTACTTATGATTAGTAAAGGAGCTATAATGTTTCCTTTCTAATATTTATTTTTACACAATTATTCATATCTTACTAAAGATTAAACATACTATTCAGTAATAGTGGTTTATCTATAGGATCCAAATTGAACTTGAAACACTATTTTCCAAAACACAGGTTTATATAATAAAAACATTAATAAAGCTAAACTGTAGTGTGCACTAATTAACAACACAGTGTTTCATTAATATACTGATCTATAAAGTTAGACTACATTTTAGTTTTGATGTTACATTAAATGTATTAGCGCCTCTAGCCCTGTATAAAGGACCTTGGATACATTACTGCAACCCTTATAAAAGTGTTCTAAAGCAGCTGTTCTCAAATTTTTGGTCTTCAAGTCTTAAAAATTATTGAGGGCCCCACAGAACTTTTCTTTATGCATGTTATATCTACTGATTTGGACCTTTTTAAAATTAAAAATGGCATCTTTAACAAATATATGGATTTATTCATTTAAAATAATTTTAAACCCCATTATAAATTCACTCTTCCAGCTGCTGAGATATCTTGCCCCCTATGGTAACAAATAGGCCCAAGGAAATGTATACTCAAATTCCCTTCCTGAGGGAAAGCAGCTGACAGTTCAAATTAGATCCCAGCATCAAAAAATTCAGATGGATTGATGAATGAATAGGGGATAGACAGGCAGAGAGATCATGGATAGCACAGATAAAGAAACGTGTTAATTGTAGAATCTAGAATGTAGGTATTAGATGTCCTCTCCACTATTATTTCTGTTTTTTTAATATTTGAAATATTTCTTAACAAAATGTTGAAGGGGGCATTACAACGTAATAGCATATTCTATTTTTATTGTTTTATCTTTTTGTAAATCTTTTTTTATAAATCTTTTTAATATTTGGCATTTGACAACTATATTCTCATACCTGCTTCTACATTCAATCTATTGGGATAGCATACATCAGATAGCCTTCATAAAGCTCCATGGTAAACCCATAACAAACAGAATTTTAAAAGCAAATAATGTCTCAGTACTATTAATCTTCACCAAATGGACCCACTCAAAAGCATCTTGGGGACTCTTGTTCCTTCATAGTTTCTGCACTAAGAATTAAATTGGGTACCATGAATAACTCACAGCAGTTGGAACACAGTAATCCCTCAGTAAACTATAATTATTATTTAATAAGACTGTGCAGGATGTCCTGTTTTTCAATTTGAGGCTACACATGTTTCAATTTTCCCAGTCATTTTAAATACAAGATACCAAAAAACTTCTCCTTACAGTGCAAAGTTTTCTTAAATTATGTTTTCTTCTCACCTTACTGAATCAAGGAAGAAGTTAGATTATTATTGCCTGTCTCCTCATTTATTTTTAGTGAGAACAAAAATAGTTCATTGACAAATCATACAAATAAAAAGAAATGCATGGGCCTTTGTGGCTAAACTATACTACCCAACCAAATACTTTTATACTTCAGGTTTTTGTAGTATTGAGCATCAACTTAGCAGTGGAGTTTAAAGGAAAGCAATTAATTTATGATGAATTTAGTGAGATAAATTCAAATTGCCGAGCTCATATGAGATCAATGTAAAAAAATGCAATATATCAATTGTCATGGAATTGTAAAACTGCTCTACAGACTGAACTCTCTTTTTAGAACATTCACTTCTTTGAGACAAGCTGAATGGAAATCAAACAATATATAGCCAGTTGGCTGCTTAGTAAATATGAATGAAGAAAAGGGATGTAGGGTATAATATATTTCATTATTTCTCCAAAATATAGGCTGGTCAAGTGGAGTCTTTATAACAAAGCAATGTTGTTGTTGTTTTTTTCCTAGGGAATGAGAAGGGTAATAACACAAGCAAATTTACTGCCATTTTTCCAAACTTCCACTGGCAACTAATTTCCATTCTTATCAAAGTAATATTCCTTTAAATATAAACATTCCTTCAGTCAAATCTTGTTTTGGTCCAAGATTAACCTTGTCATTTTAAGGAAACTTTGTAAATATTTTCATTGATCTACATTTTCTTTTTCTTTTTTGAGAGGGAGTCTCTCTCTGTCAGTCTCTCTCTGTCAGTCTCCTCTGTCACCCAGGCTGGAGTGCAGTGGCGAGATTTCGGCTCACTGCAACCTTCATCTCCCAGGTTCAAATACTTTCCTGCCTCAGCCTCCTGAGTAGCAGGGAGTACAGGCACCCGCCACCACACCTGGCTAATTTTTGTTTTTAGTAGAGAGGGGGGGGTCTCACCATATTGGCCAGGCTGGTCTTGAACTCCTAACCTTGTGATCCACCCGTCTCAGCCTTCCAAAGTGCTGGGATCATTTTATAGTTGCATCTTAGAGATTAATACCACTTTCAACTTCTTAGTATCATCTCACAGTTACTTCTTAAATCCTGCTTACTGCATTATTAATATCTTTCTCAAAATGAGCACACAGGTACATCTCATTGTTTAAAGGCTTTAAAGGTCAGTATGTAAACAAAATTCAAAATTTGAATGACATTCTAATGCCTCAGTGGTGTGTCTGTTTTCTTGTTTGTTCTGTTATTGAGATGGAGTCTTGCTCTGTCACTCAGGCTGGAGTGCAGTGGTGCCATCTCAGCTCTCTGCAACTTCCACCTCCCGGGTTCAAGCAATTCTCCTGCCTCAGCCACCTGAGTAGCTGGGATTACAGGTGCCCACCACCATGCCCAGCTAATTTTTATATTTTTAGGAGAGATGGGGTTTTAACATGATGGCCAGCCTGGTCTTGAACTTCTGACCTCAAGTGATCCACCCACCTCGGCCTCCCAAAGTGCTGGAATTACAGGCATGAGCCACAGTGCCCAGCCTCAATGGCATTTTTAAAGGCAGAATAAATAATTTTATTACATGAACTTGTAAGAAAGATTCTCTTTCAGACATAAATTATGTGATGGAATTTTCCAATACATATTAGAATTACATATGCTCAGAAATTTTTCTTAAAAAAACAAATAAATAAAAGCCCTAGGATACAGAGAGGCAAAATACTAAACAGAAATAAAACACCTAGTTAATAGGTACAACACTGTCATTTACAAGCCACATAATTTTGAGCATATCACTTAACCAGCACGGATCTCAGTTTATCTGTATAACAAGCAGAACTGGCTAAATGCCTGTATTACCTTTCAATTTCCTAATTTTATCTTTTATATTTCAAAGGAAAAGTACTTAGCATTCACTAGGCATGTTAACTGCGAAAAAATGAAATAACTTAAAACTGAGCTTTGCTCTAGTTTGTGAAACTCAGATTCTTATAAAAGCAGATAATTTTTATTATGGAAGTCTATTATATAGGAAAATATATATTATATAAAAATATAATTTACTTTAGTACATTAAATATTACATATGAAAATATAATGATATATAAATTTATGGTTTAAATGTATTAAATATATAAATTATATATTTATATCATCAAAATTAGTAGATATATAACTTTAATATATATGTTTTATATTGTATAAATAATATATGTATATATTTTATTTTAAATATATTATATACAATATTTAAAACTCTGGGATACAGAGAGGCAAAATACATAACATATAACATATATATTATTGCCCTAAAATATTTATTACAAATGTTATAATTTATAATTAAAATATTCACTGAGTTTGAAAAATAAAGGGCACTTAAAGTATGACAAATGTTAATATTTGTTAAAACTGAATATTAAGTCTAAATGCTTATTATTTTCTACATTTTTAAGATTTATTCAATGAAAAGATATCTGATCAATTCAATAGTAAACACATGAACACTTTAAAATAATTGGAAGCAAATATGTAATCAAAAAACCTTTCTTATAGAAACAGTGCTATTAGTATTACAATATTATAGGTTGATATTTGTTATGGCTTTAATTTTAGAAAATGTAGAGTTCTTACCAAATGTACTTTTCTATGTCACTATTTATCTGTAGACCATAAACTCATTTACTAAATTTTGAAATCTTTACCTGGTAAAGCCTGGCATTCTTGCTGTCTCTGATCCCACTGGCAATTCAAGTTTAGTGAACAGCTTTTACAGCTAGTAAGTTTGTTACAAATCTGCTCATTTCTCACATGACATTTGGTGTAGTTCTTGACAGACTAGAAAATTAAAAGAGCGTGTTATTTTTCACCTTTGTACAGTAACGATTCTTAAACTTCAATGTATATTTAAATCCTCTGGTGAACTTTAAAATAAACATTTCTAACTCCAAATACAATACTACTGAATCAGATTCAATCTTATTTATCTAATTAGTTTATTAATTTAAATTAAATTTGGAGTAAACATGTCTCTGTAAGTGGTGAACTACAACCTAATTTAGAGTGTAAACAAACTGCAACCTAACTTAGAAGCATATTCTTGTAACAGATAGTTGAGCCTCAGCCAATCACAGCAATAGAGACATATGTTTCAATGGACAAACTGCAAAATATTCAAATAAGGTATTATAAACACAATGGCATTAGGCAAAGCTAACTATACTGCCTTGTTCAAATGGAAAGCCTATGCTCCTAATAATAGAACTTCATGTATCTCCTGCTTTTATAAACTCTAACATGACTTGATATTGCAAGGCTTTAATGCATTTTGCCAAAGTATATTTTCACCAGATAAAAGAAGACCCCACGAACTGATGGGAATCAGACCTTTCATGGTCTACAACCTGAAGATTGGGTATTTTTCAAAGAGACACCAGAGAAAGACTGCCCTTGAACTCAGCTGGAAAGGACTAAACAAAGTTCTCTGCAGCAAAACTACAGGGCATTGAGCCTGAGCCTTGTATCCACATTTCTCAATTTAAGAAGACCCTTCCAGCCTGGGGACAGTATACCCACTGGAAACCTCAAGGCAAAATTGACCAGGGACCTTTCTCTTTACAGACGACATCCTAGATATGAACAGCTTTCCCAAGATGACAGATCAAGACTTCTTTCCTCAGTCACCATGAAACTATGATCCTTTTCCTCTTTTCTCTGTGTTTATTTTTTGTTTATACCCAGGAATATAACATGCTTATTATAATTTCATGATCAATAGCTTTTGCAGGGAATGTAACCAAATGTTGGATATGTTATGTTAAACCTAAATCCATAAATGATCTTAGAGATTCTCTGGCTCACCTTCTAATAAATTTTTCTGATGTTCTAAGAGCAATATCTGGTCCTTTGCATAGGGTTAGGCTTTTAGATTCACATATTGAGGTTCTTTGTTTAAATCTAACAGTAGTCAAAACCTATAGTAAGGGATTTGCAGTTACATGTTGCCAGAAATTGAATAAGATAACCAAAAGAAAAATAATTTAAAAGTTTGTAGAGAAATCTATCACCCTAGTCCCTTTAATTGTCAAGACCCTTCAACCATCCAATGATTTCATAATGGAGCCTTGAAGAAATATTACTAGTGCTTCTCTACTGTGGCATCTAACACACAAGGCAAGGAACTGTCCATCGTGCCTCTCAAGGGTATATTTTCATCTGTATAGGATTTAACAACCAACCACATATGTAAGCAACTCCATGTCTCAATAAGTAGAAAATGTAGATTAGGGATTTCAACAGTAATACTCTTATAATTGTCATGATTATATCCAATAACCAATTGGAAATTGAACATTAGTCTACACCTCTTAATTTACACTATAGAATAAAGAGGAGTTTGCCAGCAAGTTTAAGTATCCCTAAACAGGCATCTTTTGGTAGAATGCTCCTTCTTTAGCTTGGCATAAATGTAAATGAGACTATGATTAGAAATCTGTCTCAAACATTAGCTACTATAGCGCAAATGGGCTATAGCTGCCCATCAAACATCTTTAAATTCTCTTGCTAAAGTTGTTTCGGATAACATGATTGCTTTAGCCTATGTGTTGACTGAAAAGGGAGGAGTGTGTGCAATAGATAACACCTCCTACTGCCCTTGATAAATTATGTCTGACATGAAAGAAATTCAGTTTTAAGAAATCAACAAACAAGACAATTGATTAAAACTAGTAGACTCCTCTTTTGGTTTGTTGTTGATATGTTTATTTTTGACCAGTTTCATTCACAGGAGCTCCTATTAAGAAGTATACCTCAGTCTCTTAATATTACCCTCCTGATTGTCATTATAACAGTCTACATAGTATGCCATATCCTCTCAAGAGTCTTAAATGCTCATATGAAGCCATCTGTTATACATCGGATGGTCTCACTACATTTAAAATAATAAAAACACAAAGAGAATATAAAAAAAAAAATCATCCAACTGACTTGACATTGTGAATTGTGAATTCCATATTGAGACCAAACAAGTCCATTACGATGGTGACAGAAAGTAGTGTTAGTGCCTAAGGTTTTTGGTCAATTTCTCAAAACTGACAGCTTGCCAAAAGGGGAGATTAAATTAAATTAAATTTGGCCTAATTTAGTATGCAAACAAACTGCAGCCAAATTTATTAGTGTCTTCTTATAACAGATAGCTTAGTCTCAGGTAATCACAATAGTTGAGTCGCAGCCAATCACATGCTGCCAACTGATCAGACTATTTCCATAAAAGGTAAATGCCTCATCACACCATGCCCAAATAGGGAAAACAGTAAGCTGTAGCCAGTCAAGTTGTTCCTAAATGTCACTTCCTTTTTCACTTCCCTTTTCTGTCTAGAAATACTTCCTGCCCACACTGATAGCTGAAGGTGTCTGAACCTCTTGGTTCAGAGTTCTGTTGAATTCATGAATCAGTCTTTGTTCACATAAGCTCTGCTAAATTTATTTTGCCTTAAGTTTTTCTTACAAGTTAAACTATTGTTCTTGGAATTGGAATGAGTATTTATTAAAAAATAAAGTGTGCAAATTACACAATTTGAAACAGGCACCATGTAATAAAAACTTTTTCCAGTGAATTCAAAAACAGCCTTCCAATTCAAAAATAAAATCATGCACAAAGTGATTTCCATCAATGATGACATGAAATGGTTCTAGTCTTAAAGTATCATGCAAACCCTTCGGAATGAAGCAGAAATGAAAAGTAGTAAAAGGTAAAGAGATGCTTTATCAAAATCCAATACAATATAAAAAGATAAATGACTGTCAAAATAACTCAAACTAATTTTACTTCCACAGATACTAAATAATGGTTTTGGTTAATTGAGATTTCTTCTGTATATATCTGTAATATTTCCTTCATTGAGGCTTCAAAGAATCTGCAAAAGTTATATTTTTCTCAAAATCTACTACAAATGTAAATATTTCAACAAATTCTGGCATTGAGAGATTAAAAGTTAATTGCCAAGAAAGAAAAAAAATAGATAATATAGAAACTTGAATGGTGGTTCCTTACATGTACCCAGCTTCAGATACTTCACATATTGCCAATACATATGATAGAAACTACCTCATGAAAAACAGATATTAAAATTTTTGGCTCAAATTGTCCTGTGGCTCTACTTTATGAGAAAAAAAAATACAAAATACTTAATGCTAAATACTGAGCCCCATCTCAATCTTTTTGTTTTGTTTTGACTATAGGTATAAACACCTCAGGACTTCTCATGTAAGGGAGCTAAATATTTTTTTCACTCAATAAAGTTAAGAGTTAAAATTAAGTTATAACTATTCTACAGATAAAATTTACTGAAGCAATTTTTAACCACTTAGAGACTTTAAATGTCACTCACAAAGTATTTACTTATAAGCTACTTCCTTCATAAAATACATTGCCATCACCTCCATTCCAAAGGTGTTAATTTCTATTACAGCATACTATATTTACTGTAACAGATAAAAAGTACCCAGATAAAATTTTTATCTTTATACATCCTAAAAAATTACAGAAGATACATTTTTGTAAACTTCAAATCACTTTATCACTTTTTCAACCACTACATTTTCATTAGAAACATAAACTTTCTTATCATTTTTTCTGATTCATAAATTTTTGTTTTCATATAGTATATATTAGCATTATTCTACGTAATCATTACAGTATAGTTCCATATCCTTTATTCTATGTAATCATTATAGTATAGTTCCAGACATTTGATAGCTAACTAAAAATAATTAAATTTAACTGAATTATCAGATAAAGAAAATAACCTATAAAAATTACATGACAACGGCTAAACATGTTGGAATAAGATAAAGAATAATAGTTGTAATGGTTTTATGTCAATCTTTAGAATAACAGTGGAAACAGTGTCCATCCAAATTACTGCTCTTCATTAAGAAAAATGTAGTCATTTATTGATACTAAATAAGTACAAAAAAATGAAATTATATTTCAATTACACATAGAGCCAAGTTAATCAATGGTAGGAGAAAGCTATTGTTCTGAAACATAAGTGGCATTTTTGGCCTAGTGAATCAGGCATACATTAGTAAACAATGAGTAGTAACCACTGCTCTACTGATCTTTAACATACTGAAATGTAAATTTTAAGTGAAAATATGTGAGAATAAAGCCTGTTGTTTGACCTGTTAGAGCACAAAATACGCAACCTGCAGTAAATACGGTTAACTAATGAAATCGGATATCAATGCACATAATTTAGACTGAAATCCCAAAGACCTCTCTACATCCATTAACATTTGGTTTAGCTTAATCCCCAGACATTTGATAAAACTGTGTAAAAGACACATTATATCAAACTCTAAATTACCATCTGCTCTCTTGCACTGTCTCACCCAATGCTTTCCTTGTTTGTTTTTGTTTTCTTTTCTTTTTTGAGCCAGAGTCTTGCATTGTCGCCAGGCACCCAGCTGGAGTGCAGTGGCACAATCTTGGCTTGCTGCAATCTCCGCCTCCTGAGTTTAAGCAATTCTCCTGCCTCGGACGAGTAGCTGGGACTACAGGCGCATGCCACCATGCCCAGCTAATTTTTGTAGTTTTTAGAAGAGACGGGGTTTCACCATGTGGGCCAGGATGGTCTCAATCTCTTGGCCTCGTGATCCACGCTCCTCAGCTTCCCAAAGTGCTGGGATTACAGGCATGAGCTACCGCGCCCAGCCACTTTCCGTGTTAACACATCATCATCAAAAATAAAATATAAAGCAAAATACCACTTTATAAATGCTTGATAGCAATTTACATAATACAATTTTTAAGATACATTTGTTTACACTCAGTT